CCCAAAATCGGATATAAACTCACTGCCCAGATTTTTGGAATTACTGTTCACGCGCGGTACTGTTCACGCGCGGGTTACTGTTCACTGCTGCTAAAAAAATACACCAGCATCCAATTTAAATTGCAGCACAACCATTTTTCACTAAAATGGCTCTAACTCCATCATACGAACTCGGAATTAGACGATTCTTATTCCTATGAGCCACAAATAATAATACGAACACAACACTTCAATCAAAACTCAATTAGGAGCTCATTTGCCCAGTGCGATATCCATTTCGCTCGTTAAACAATTACTCATGTTTCGCGTCAAAAACCCAATCGCGACTTGATGAAATTAGACCAAAATTTCCAGATCAGTCCTATAATTCATTATCAAAATTCCTGAAGTCTCGGAATCAAATTTGGATCTCTATAACTAAAAATGAACCTTTAGATCATTACATTTATGCTCAAAACGGCAAAAATCTTCCAAAATTTGTCTTCATGGGATCCCAACAAAGTATACTAACAAGTCCCATATTATGACACAAACTTAGTTGTTCCTTCGAATCACCAAAAACAACGCAAAAATATTAAATTCACCTCGGATTCAAGCCTATGAACTTTGAAACTTCAAATTTTCACATCCGATGTCGAAACACGTCAAAACTAGTCCGAATGATCTCAAATTTTGCAGACAAGTCCAAAATGACATAACGAAGCTACAACAACTCTAGGTGTTCCATTCCGAGCCTCGGATCAAAATCTTACCTATCAACCGGAATTCGCCAAAATACTAACTTTGCCTATTCAAGCTTAATTCTACACCGGTCATTACAAAAATATTCCGGACACACTCCTAAGTCCCAAACCACCTAACAAAGCTATCCGAACCATAAAATTCATATTTTGAGCGCACTAACACATAAGTCAATATCCCGTTGACTTTTCCAACTTAAGCTTCCTTAAAAGAGACTAAGTGTCTCAAACCTTACCAAAATCATTCAGGAATGACTTAAAATTTTGCACACAAGTCACATTCAACATTATGGACTTGCCCCAACTTTCGGAATCGCATTCCGACCTCGTTATCAAAATTTCCACTTCCGGTTGAATTTTCTCAAAAACCTTCAAATTTCTATATTTAGCCAAACGGCTCCAAAATGACCTACGGACCTCCGAATTCACTTCCGATCGCGTTCCCAAATCCAGAATCACCATACAGAGCTACTCCCAGTCTCGAAATTCCAAACAGGCATCAATAACACTGAAATGCATTTTAAGCCAAACTGATGCAATTTCTTCTAAAATACTATCTTCCACAATAGGCGCCAAAACGCTCTCGGGTTATCCAAAACCCGATCCAGGCATACGCCCAAGTCCGAAATCATCATACGAACCTACTGGAACCTTCGAATCCCAATTCTGAGGTCTTTTACTCAAAATTCCAATCCTAGTTCATTTCTTCAATTTTAAGCTTTCAAAATGAGAATTTCCATTTAGATTTGACTCCAAACTTCCTGAATTTTAATTCTGACCATACACTCAAGTCAATATACCTGAGATTAAGCTGCTCATGGCCTCAAACTGCTGAATGACGCGCCGAAGCTCAAAACGACCGATCGGGTCGTTACAGTAAAAAATCAACCCCGGACCCGCTTGGCCAAAATTCAAGGTTCGGAACAAAATCTATTTACCAATTCATCCCGAGCCCGAATATGGAATTAGTTTATGAAATTCGACCCCAAATTGAGGTCAAAATCCCAATTTCCCAAAAATCCCTAATTCTACCAAACCCCAAATTCCTACCATGGAAATCCTAGATTTTAGGTTGTAAATTCATGAAATGCAATGGATAATTGAAAGAAAATGGTTTGGAATCACTCACCAACACTTTGGAGAAGAAATTAGCTTGCGAGAATCATCCCTAGGTCATTTGGCTTTTGAAAATCTGAAAGAATGAGCTAAGTTCCGTAATGATATTTTAATAGATGGGCGACAGTATTCATCGCGTTCATGAGGACATTGTCGCATTCGCAAAGGGCAGCCTCCTAAGGACTTACGCAATCGCGGGAGGCACTACGCGTTCATGAAGGTTTAGCCCGCCTCACCTTCGCGTTCGCGAGACAATGCTCGCGTTCGCGAGACAATGCTCGCGTTCGCGTAGAGTTTCCTGGGTCCCCTGCCCAACCTAGATAGAGCTACGCGTTCGCGTTCGAAGGGTCACGTTTGCGTAGAGCAACTCCCCTCAATGCTCTGCATTCGTGACCAGGGTCTCATGTTCGCGTAGAGTAAAATCCTCCCCAGCCCAGATTCCCCTTCGCGATTGCGAAAATGGCTTCGCGATCACGAAGCACAAAATAACAGGACACCAGCTGCAGCAAAACACACCAGATTTCTAAGTCTAAAATATCTCGTAGCCTATCCGAAATTCACCCGAGCCATCGAGGCTCCAAACCAAACATGCACACAAGTATAAAAACATCATATAGACTTGCTTGCACGATCAAATCGCAAAAATAACACCTAGAACTATGAATTTAGCACCAAATCAAATGGAATTCTCAAGAACACTTTGAAGTTCCTATTTTTACAACCGGACGTACGAATCACGTCAAACCAACTCCGTTTCTCATCAAATTTCACAAACAAGTCTTAAATATCACAATGAATCTGTACCGGGCTCCGGAACTAAAATATGAACCCGATACCAATGAGATCAAATATTAAACAAATTCATAAAACCATTTAATTTTCTGATCTTCAATTTTCATCAAAAATTCATATCTCGAGCTAGGGACCTCGGAATTTGATTCCGGGCATACGCCCAGGTTCCATATCGATACAGATCCACGGGACTTTGAAAATATGAGTCCGGGTCTGTTTACTCAAAACGTTAACTGAAGTCAACTAAATCAACTTCTAAAGGCAAAAATTATTATTTTCATCAACTTTAAACATAAAAGCTTTTCGGAAATTCGCCCAGACCGCGCACGCAAATCGCGGAGGAATAAAATGAGGTTTTAAAGACTTCGGAACGCAGAATCGAGTTCTAAAATATAAGATGACCTTTTGGGTAATCACACAAATGCGATATAACTTTTTGGTTAACATAAATATAACCAAAGACCGGTAAAAAGGGAGAATAAGCACATTTACTGTGTATTCTTCTAATCTTTTTATTTGGGTAAAATTCACTGTGTATACCTAGTCGTTTACAAACTAGGAATAAATGTAGCTAGAGATAAGTCTTTGGCACTTGAAGCAAAACAATAGAAAGGCTTGTAAACTTAATTTGGAGGCTGATAAGGAGAAACAAGTTAGGTATGCCTAACTCACATGGCTAATACTTGATAATAGCCGCAAAAATTAAAATTCTACGGCTATTTGCAAAATTATAAAAATAATTTGCCACAAAAATTATGTTGATAAAGTTAATTCCTCATTTTAGCTACAATTGCTAGTAATCGTGGCAATAACTAGCTAAATAGCTATAAATTTATTGCTACAAATAAAATTTGGTAGCTAATCATAATTTTTTCCCACGAATCAATAGTTACTGTAGCAGTAGTTACCTCTTAGCTACAATAAATTGTTTAAAATAAAATATTGCAGCTAAATAAATATTTTTGCTTTAAGTTCTAAAAAGTTGTGGCAATAGTTAAATGATATAGTCACAAATTTATTGGTATAATTGAATTATGTAGCTAATTCTTAGTTTTTTGCCACGAGTTAAAAATTACAATAACTATAGTAAATTTTTTAACCACAATAAATTATTTGAAAGAAAATATTGTAGCTAAATGAATATTTTTGCTTCAAGTTATTAAAAGTTGTGTCAATATAGGTTAAATTAGCCACATGTTTCTTGCTTTAATAGAATTTCGTAGCTAATCATTTATTTTTACCACGAGTTGAAACTTAATTTAACAATAATAACCTTTTAGCCATAATAAACCATTTAAATCAAATATTACTAAATAAATAACTTTTCTTCAAGTTCTAAAAAATCATGGCAATAGTCATTACAATAAAATGATATAACCACAAATTTATTGCTACGATAAATTTTGTGACTAATCATTAGTTTTTGCCACAAGGTAAATTTTCCGTCCTAGTAGCAATCTTCTAGGCACATTAAAAATTTGAAACAAAATTTTGTAGTCAAATAAATATTTATCTTCTTATTTTAAGAAAATAAAAATAGTTAGATAATAGTTACTACTATTTGTCATGAAAAAATCAATAGATACAAATTTAAAGTGACGATAAATTTACGAGTTTACTATACTTTAGTCGTACAACTATGATTGTCATTACAATAATAGTATTTTAACCACAATTAGTTATATGTAAAAAAATTCATAAGTGAATAACTTTTTTCAAATGACAAAAATAAGAGTTGCTCAAACAATATCAAGTTATAAAAATTTAATTTTAAATGTAAAAGTTATATTTTTCCAAAATAACATAAACTATAGTAATTATATATAGTTTGAAGTATTAATAAAATTTAAATATGCAAAAGTTAATTTTAATAAACCATTTGTATGCCTACTTGTAGCCTCTAAACTTATTAATTTACTTTATTTATCAAACTCATATTTTATTTTATTGCACCTTGTTAGTTTTGGACGTTAATTATATATATTTGGTGTAAAATTTAAAATATATTAACATTTGTGGAGAATTTATNATTTGGTGTAAAATTTAAAATATATAACATTTGTGGAGAATTTATGTATGCCTGGTTCTTAACTATTTTTTTTTATATAAGTAGTTAGAGTAATTTCTTATATTTCAGTATTTATTTTTAAATAAGTCCTCATAAATTGAAGACTTTAAGAGTTTTTAATAAGTACTTATATTTGCCTTTTATTCGTTTGAAAAGAAAATTATCCGCGCGATATTTTTTTGGTATATGCAGAAAAGTCAATAGTTGCTAAAAAAACACTTTGTAACTGTTGACAGTGTTGTTTGTAATGCTTCATTACTTACTAAGAGCTTCACTCACAAANACTACACTATTCCATTGAAAACAAAAGTCGTGATTAATGCTTGGGCAATGGGAAGAGATCTAAAATATTGGGATGACGTAGAAAGCTTTAAACCTGAGAGATTTGAACACAACTCTATGGATTATATTGGTAATAATTATGAATATCTTCCCTTTGGTAGCGGAAGGAGAATTTGCCCTGGAATGTCATTTGGTTTAGCAAATGTTTATTTTCCACTGGCTCAACTGTTGTATCACTTTGACTGGAAACTCCCAACTGGAATCATTCCAAGTGAACTGGACTTGACCGAGGCGCCTGGAGCAGCTTGTACTACAAAGAATGACCTACACTTGATCGCTACTCCTTATCAACATTGTCAAGAGTGATCTCATGGCGTCAAACATTTTCTTAAAAGAAGAATCTTGCAATTGAATTTCGTTGTCAACCCCACCATTGTACTTTCTTCCTTTGCTGTTTTGGTATTTACCTATTTCTAATATTTTGTGTCTTCTTTCATATAGAAATATGCCACTATAGTTTTCGACACAAGCTGTCCAATAAGATTTTCTGTTGTTTTTATATTTTGGAATAGAATATACTTACATCCTTGTATTATGAAGAGGAGATCAATTGATGGTGTCATCATATTCTGTTTGTATACTTTTGATCTTTTGGGCTATGTGAGATTTTAAGGTGGTGAATCTATTCCTTGTGAGGTAGGATTTTATTTACCTGTTTACTTGTATAATATGGATTCCTTATGCTACTAAATATGTTACCTTGTATACTTCAAGTTTGCATTGATGCAGTTTATATATGTACCTCCATATTTTCTTCATAGCAATTTTTAGAGCTGGTTAACTGAACAACACAATAAAAGCAAAAATCAACTATATGTAACCAATATAAATATACGTTGACTTGTCCTTGTTCTTCACAAACAAGATTAGAGCATCCTAAAATAAGACACTTGGTCTAATGAACCCCTTGCTCAACAAGTCCTGTAACTGCTCATTTACCTCCTTCTGGCAGGAATCATCTTATAAGTTGGGATTGTCACGATCCAAAATTTCCACCGAAAACGTGACGGCACCTAACACCACTTTTTAGGCAAGCCATCAACCAATAAGTAAAAACGGTTTCAAAATAATATGTAAATAAAAGGACTTATTCTTTTGAGTGCATGAGCTCCAAAGAATAAGTAAATACATGATCTGAATAAAATATAATACTGTCTGAAAGACTAAACAATGTTAATGTGAAATAAGGAATGGACGTCAAAGCCTGCAAAGGGATCAACATCGCAACCGCAAAATCTCCCAGCTAATCCGGATCCGGCTCACGGGTAACCACCACGATCAGCAACACCTATATTTGCACACGAAGTGCAGAGTACAATATAAGTACAATAAACCCCATATACTCAATAGAAAACACACCTAACCTTGAGGTAAAGGAGTGACCAGCTAGTACAGTTATAAAATTGAGGTAAAGGAGTGACCTAACATGATAAAATTGTAATATCAAGCTCTAATCCTCAAGTACAGTTACCAAGTACCAACTAGCGTGAGGGATAATACAACTCCATGCCTGCATGTCAGTCATACATGCCAGATCAATAAATTTTTTTTATAGTTAAATTATCAAGTATAAACAAATATCAACACATTCGTCCACAATGCCCAAGAAACATATTGTAGGCACGCTCACAGTGCCTGGCTCAAAGCCAATGAACCTTGACATACACATACTCAGCACTATACGGGTGCGTGACATAAGTCCCTCTCAAGCACATATGTATGATCTTGTGCTTGCATCCTCAGTTAATACCTGACTCCGGAGGGACATGTCCTTGCCCAAGCATTGTTTAGATCTAAGTCAATGATCAGTATCATCTAGACCGACATGGGGCTGATGCACGCATCACCTTAATATTAATACCACTCAGCTTAATATCCAGCCTAGTGTATACGTCATCTCAATATCAATGCCAATGCCGCTCTATGACCCAAAATTAGTCATCAATCCTCTCAGGTCTCCATATGTCAGTATCTCACAGAAACACAATTCGATAAACAACACGGAATATAACCACGTGCCACAATTCAGCTCAAACTCATGTCACATACAAGGAAACCAATAATATGTGAGTTAACATATCAAAATTGTACATAAACAGAGATATAACACGCGGATATAATTATCATGACTGAGCAGTATAACTCGGCTAAGGTAGATAGCACAATATAGAAAAAATATCCCTACCATATGTCTCAAACAATTAAGCAGACAGCTTAGACATGATTTCTAGCATGAATATAACTCACATAATCATATAATGAAAAAAATATGATTAAAAAGCTGCATGATAGTAGAACAAGCATATAATAGCCTATGAACTACTCGGATCATGAGTAATTACGGTGCACCTATATTCGCTCGTCACCTCGCATATACATCACCCCCTAAAACATAGAAAATACAATAACTAATGGAAAATTAACCTCAAATTCAAGTTTAGACAAGTTACTTACCTCATCCGGCTAGTATTTAACCTCAAATCGTGTAAAAAATCTCGACCTACCTCTCCAATCTCACAAATCCAAGTCAAACATCATCCAAGGACATCAACAATGCCATAGGAAGTGATCTTATTCTATTAAGCTTCGATATTTGAAGAAATCCCCAAAAGTCAATAAAAGCCAACCCAGATCTACGTGCCCAATATCTAAAACAAATACAAAAATTCGATGACCCATGACCTGCCGAGTCCAAAAATATGATTAATTTTCAAAACGTATCCCAATCGGTACTCAAATCTCCAAAATACACTCTCTTAAAGTGCAGGCAAAAACCCCAAGTTTTCTTTTAAAATTTCAAGTTTTAGGTGTAGAAATCCTCTGGTAATCAAGATATAAAGCGAAATCCAAGTGAAAATTGCTTACCTCCATTGTAGTAGTGAAATTGCTCTTCAAAATCTCCTCTACTCGAAGTCTAGAGATCAGAATATGAAATAATAGGCAAATTATAGAAATTGTAAACATAAGTACTTTGCCCAGCAGTACTCATCACGATCCTGGCCAAGCTATCACGATGACAAAGCACAAACAGCCTTCGCCCAGGATTACTTCATCACGAACGCAAATGTCCGTTGGGAACCCGATCACAAACTTACTAGCCTTCCGTGTACGCGAAGCTTCCTTATCGTGAATGTGCCCATCCTCTCGCAAACGCGAAGTACAAAAAACTCCAAAATTACTCTATGAGAACACGACCCTTTGACCGCGAGCACGAAGATCAACAGAAAACCAGAACATCAACAATCATAAAGTGGTTCAAAAATAACCCAAAACTACCCGAAACTCACCCGAGCCCCATGGGACCCCGTTCAATCATTCTAACAAGTCCAAATACATTATCCAAACTTATTCAAAGGCTCAAAACACCAAAAGTAACATCAAACCTAAGAATCGTCGAACAAGATCAATCTCTTAAGTTCATAAACTTCCTATTTCGAACCAAGCGTCCGATTCAAATCTAACCAATCTGGAATGAACTCAAACTTTGCACACAAGTCCCAAATGACAAAATGGACCTATTCTAGTTCCTAGAATAACAATTCGACCTCGATAGTCTCAAAGTTAGCTCCCGATCAAACTCGTGAACTCTTCAATTCTTCAAATTGCCAATGTTCGACAAATAGAGTCGAAACCTTCTAGGAACATCCAAATTCAAATCCGAACATAGGCTCAAGTCAAAAATCACCATATATACAAACTTATTGAAACTATCAAATCCCGATTCTCCGGTCGTTTACATAAAAGCCAAACTTTGGTAAACGTTTCCAACCTAAAGCTTCCTAATTGAGAATTACTCTTTCAAATAAACTCCAAAGCTCTCAAAAATTAAAACAAACCATATACGCGAGTCATAATGCACAATGTAAACCTTATAAGGTATTCATACCGAAATCCATGATATGATGAAGTAAAACACATGCTAGGTCCTTTGGAAATACATTTTGAACATACTAACGCCTAGGATCATATCAAGTGTCAGAGTCTAAACACTAGTATCCATCCCAAATGAATGATACCCCAAACTACCCTTAGTCACCATCCGGTTTGCCTTCATAAAATAAATAACCTTGCCCATGGAGAGTCACTAGAAGAAACTGCCACTCAATAATTGCCATATCAGAGAGAGCGAGTGTAATAGTCTTGACATGGGAATCAAGCATAACCCGACATAATTACAACTAATTCATACCTAAAATAATATCAAATTCCACAGGGCAAGTAAAAAAGCAAAACACAGATTTAAGGATTTTAAACTTAAGCCTAATAATTATCTGATCTGGAGAACACATATACTACAATTAGTGCAAGTCATGAAAGTGACTAAGTTGATTAATGAAGGCAACCCAGACAAAAAGTGTATCAGTCGTTCCAGATGGTTGTGCAAATCAACTGATGATGATTTAAATTTCTATACGCAGCCCCCTGCAAGGTTACATTAGATAGCGGAATTTTTTGTATAAGATTGGAATCCCCATTCTACTTAGTACAGAAGGAATTCTCCTGTCTCTAGAAAGATAAAGCTAAAAGCAATCTCTCGCATATAATTTGAGATTGACCCGCCTCTACAAGAGGTAGGTGGTAGGGGCGAAGCTACGTAGCCCAAAGGGTGGTGAACTGACCGTCTTTATCAAAAAATTACATGGTATATATCGATAAAATATTAGATTTTAGTGGTGATATAACATATATTGAACACCGTTTATCAGAGATTTTTTTTTACTTGTTTCATGTTTGAACACCATAGATGAAATTTCTGACTTCGCCATTGGTGGGTGGGGATCAAGAGAAGTAAGGCTGGGCACATCATACTCTTCAGGTATTGTGTCATGTCAATTTCCATTGTGAACTTTTTGTGTATCCGCGCTGGGAGGTGCAGGATATTCTATTAAGGACTTGAATTTCAGGAACTATGACTGAAGAGAGCATGTACCTCATTGTAGGTTGCTCAACCACTAAGGAGATATGGGATTACTTGGAGGAACCCTACCTTCAAGCAACTAAGGACAAAGAGTTCCGACTTAAGCTTGTAGAATATTAAGTTAGGAATCACGAGACTTCATGAACATCTGAAAGAATTTAAAGAGATATGCGATAGACTTGCAGCCATAGACAAACCAGTAGATGAATATAGTGATGTAATTAAATTTGCTAGAAGGTTAGGTCCTACATACAAAATTTTCAGTGGGAGAGACTCCCCATCCCACGTTGAATCAATTTGTCAATGCACTTAGAGGCTTTGGCATGAGAGAAGAGGAGGAAGAAGTAACTCAGTATAACTACAACATGGCATTTGCTGCATAAAGAGGTAGAGGTTGAAGAAAATATAATCAGAAGAGAGGAAACACAAACTATAATTCAAGAAGAAGAGGTTTTAGACCTGCATGACAAGCTAACACCAATGAAAACAATCAGTATCTTCAACAGACAAGGTAACACCAATGGTAAAGAGGCAGTTTTCCAAACAATTAAAAAATTTCAAACTCATAGAGATGGTGAGTTCAACAGTACTGAGTTTGTCAAATATTTGGAAAACTATGGGTAGGAACTTAGGTAATAGTATTCCAATCAAAGAGCTGACGAAGGGGATGAGCGGAATAGGGAGTCAATCGTTAGACAGTTGTCTTG